AGTCCATATGAGCATGCGGCACTGCTCCTTCTTTCGGTGACTTCGGGGGTCGGGCCTCTGCAACAAAAGGTTTTTGCCAGCTCAATCCCAAACGTCCGGGAAGGCCCCCCTCCCCTGCAAATCAAACTCTGAAGCCATGCCAGAAGATATGTCTCTAACCAGCCATGGAGCGAAAGCCTGCAGTAGCGGCAGTTCAGGGCTTGTCGAATGCGAAGCTGCAGGCCTGCCCTAGGCAGTTTGCGGGTTCTCGGATTTCTGAGAGAGATCTGGCTACCCAATGCCGCATGTCAGTGACTGGTGGATGCGACCTTCAGAACCACCTGCTTCCTCACTCCGCTCGCTCAGTGAAGCACCTCACCGGCAGAAGAATGTCGTGGTGCTCCGCCCAGTGCCTTGCCATCATGCGCAACTCCCACTTCCAGTGTCCGCAAGTCCGACAAAGGCACACTTCGATCAACAAAGGCCGCAGCGACGTCTCTGGCAAAGTCGTCTCTACATGCAAAAATCATTGTACAGTGCCTAGTGCAGGGTCAACTGCATGTGATCGCCACAATGTGGTCAAATTCTGGTTGCTTCACCTACGTCCCATCTACATTCATGTCACAGATGTCACTACCACCCAAACCGTAATGAATATAGAAAGCCTGAAACACTATCGACATGGGCCAGGCGGCCGATGCAGGAGGCTGGTGAACTCTGCCAACTCGCCGCCAAGCTCTGCCGCCCATTCGGGATCTCGGTGACTTCAAGCGGACTAAGGAGAGGCCCTCCCCCCTTCTTAAAGAATTTGGCAGCCGTGGATTCTGGCTGGGCAGGGGTATGCTTGGGCTGGCAGGGAAAGGTGCTTAAGTTCTCTTACAATGTTGCACGCCCTTAGACTTGTTCCCCACTTTAGGCAACTTGTTTTTTGGCGCTCTTTGCCCCTATCCGCTTTGCAGCGTGTCCTTTCTTGGTGCTGCCTGCCCTTGTCTGGTTTGTCCTTTCTTGGTGTTGTTTGCCCCTAACCTGTTTGCAGTGTGTCCTTTCTTGGTACCCCTATCGTGCTTGCAGCGTGTTCTTTCTTGGTGCTCTTTGCCCCTATCCTGTTTGCAGCGTATCCTTTCTTGGTGCTCTTTGCCGCTATCCCTCTGGAGCGTGTCCTGACGTGGTGCTGTCTGTCCCTATCCTGTTTGCAGCGCGTGCTTTCTTGGTGCTCTTTGCCCGTATCCTGCTTTCGGTGCGTCCTACTGCACAGCGTATCTCTGTAGAGTATGCCAGCCCCCAATCTGTCCCGCAACGTCATCCTGCAGAGTATACCGCCAACTGCTTCCCTTCAGGAAGCTCTTCGAACGTTCCAGTCTCCCGAAGACGGTGGGCGGGTGGGGAAGTACAGGAATTACCACAGGAGCTTCAAAGCTGCGGAGAAGCTGCCACTTTCGGCCAGCTTCAAGGCCTCCTCGAACTGGCCCACTGCATCCTCGAGCCACGACACAGTCTCCACAAGGGCTTACATTGCACTTGGGAAATTGTACGAGAGAGTCGAACTCCTGCTGTGGCACATCTTCTTTGGGTGCCATGCGTGATGTTTCAAGCGATGGACGCAAGTTCGCGTAAAGATGCACGACATGCCGACCGAGGAGAGGGTGAGCCTTAACTTGGCCTCTCGAAAGTTTCAGAAATCGGACAATCGGAGATCATCGGAGCCTCGAGCTGTCCGGCGTTGAAGAGCGCTCTTCCCAGGGTGGCCTCCGATAGAACCCGGGGAGCTTTGGGCCACTTAGCTCACGAACGAAACCGCACCTTGCCCGGCAGCCAGTCTGCGCTGAGCTTTACGGCTTGCTCTGCTGAAGCCACAGCACCCTGAAACCTTGGAGTCTCGTTGGGTCTGTGCTTTAGACTTCAATGCCCTGAGCCTGAAGCCCCACAAGTGGAGGCGGTACGGGGAGTCTTGGAGTCAATGGCCCGTGCAGGCTGCAATCTATAGGAGACTCGGAGGTTCTGTGCTTCCCCCACACAAGGTCAATATTGCAAGGGGGCAGGATTATTTGACGCCGACTTGCTTGCTCCTCTCTCGGGTGGTGCGAAGGGTGTAGGCTGCAAGGTGATCCCAACAACGGAGACCCAGACGTAGCTAGTCATTATTCCTCACAAGCTTGAAACCCACAACACGGCAATGCATCAGAGCCATTCATTTTGTCAAAAGCAACCTCAACCTCCTTGAGCTTTTTGCAGCCGGTCTGCTGCCCCAGCTCCATCAGGCATTGGGCTCGAGCCTTGCAGTCAACGGTGCTGTTGCGGCTCTGGTGTGTTGCGATAGTCACGCTCAGTGAGTTCAGTGGGGTGAGAAGGTGACTGAACGGGCCGACACAAGCATCTTCCGCACAGCAATGTGTGTCCATGCCTGTGTGCGTTCGTGGGGGGTGCGCGTGCGCGCATGGGTGTTTGCATTTTGCCCTGTCAGTCTGTCTTTTGAAACACGGGTCCTGGACCGAAGAATCCGTGGTAAACTCTGTCGGGGCTCTGAGTTGTGCAGTCCCAGCTGAAGCAAACTCCACATCAGCAAGTCGCAAGTAGAGGCAGCCATGGATCGATTCGTTTGGCCTTGCCTGTTAAAAGTTCGGACATCCCCCGGCATGCCTCATAGTGCTTGGCAGAGCTCGGATCCAGCTGCGAAGCCTGGCTAGTGTCTGAGCAGCTTAGGTCTGTGTCGATGGGTGTCGGCTGCACGAATCTTAGCCCGAAGTGGGGTTGACCGGCTGACGAGAGTTAGCGGCACAAATAGATATGGCAGAAATTCTATGGCCATGTTACTTACCGGGCTGGGCAACGGCCCCCTCATGCCATGATCCCGGTTGTTGAGATCGCACCGCAAGCCTTTTGGAAGAGCTCTGCTGCCCTGCCGAAGTGGCCGTCCTCTGCCAGGGCAGTGGCCTCCGGGCGGTTCGAAGTGGAACCGGAGGAAGATAACACTAAACAAGGTGGGAATCTTACACTTCAACGTTGCCTTTCTTCAGGTTCTTTGGGTGTATAGCGGTGGGCCTCACGAAGCGCAAGATCATCTGAAGTGCAGGTTCGAAAGTAAACACTGTTTAAGGCTAAGGGTCTCCGACCACTGGAAATCGTAAAGACCTGTAGCGCCATTGCTGCGAACCTGTGCAAGTCGCGGAATGAACTCGCAAAACCGTTTGTTGTTGGGTCGCCCCTGGGAGCCTGCCGGAAGACCGTGTCAGCAGAGCTGCACTGCTCCATTGCAAGGCGGCTATAGGGTGTCTCTCGATTCCAAAATGGAACTTGGAAACGCAGGTCTCGAGCTTCGTCGCACGAGTGACAGCAGTAATAACACTTTCCGTCTCCTCCTTCCAAGCATTCTTGTGACTCTGCTCCGGAGAGCTCTGCTCCGGTATCCCGCTGTTAGGATGGCGTCGAATGGCTCGGGCCAAAACTGCGGAAGACAAGGATGTCTAGAAAGCCTGAATGAAAGTCGCCGGTTTCAACCGCAGATGTCGACGAAATGCGCACAAGTAATCAATGCAAAACCTCTTACATATACATCTGTCAATGTGCACAACTCTGCAAGTACATAATCGCTTGTGCATGCACGCCTACATACGTATCTGAACTGATGCACACGTGCCTGCATACATCGATATACATGGACACAGACTGACAGACAGACAAACTGACTGCAGACGGACAAACATTCAGGCATGCAGGTCCACCCGTGCATGCAGCCTGTCAAGAGCGAGTGGGAGACAGACGCCTTTTCTGTGTTGGGAATAGTATTTGTATATGTGTTGTCTTTACAAGTAGACACGCACCTGCACCAAATGCAGTAAGCTGCCCTTGCCTAGAATTGCTGACAGCCAGCTCTTGCCCGAAATGCCCTCCAGTCTACTCTGCCTCGGTGCGACCCAGGCCCTCGAAATAATAGAACTCAGAAGGCAAGCTCCGGCAAGCCTGAAGGCTCTGCAGCTTTACGCTTCAGCAGGCCAGCTGCCTGCCAGGGGCGTCTGACTTGTGCAGTGGGAAGCTTAGTCCAGTGTTGCGGAGGCGTTTTTTTTTCATTCGTGGCGTCAAGCTGCGAAGGCTTGGCCTAGGGCCTAGGCCTAAGCCTTTTGTGGCAAGGAGTCTTCTTGAATCGCCGTGGGCTGTGCTGCAATACTCGCTTGCTGCAAGATGCGGCCACTTCTCAGTAGTCTATGCTTCCCTCCAAGAGATCCAAAAGCAAAGCTCGAACGAGCCCTCGCCTTCCTGGCTTTCGGCTTCTTGCGGCCGTTCGCGGCACGCACCACCATTGCAGCAGAAGGCTTGATAACGGGCCCTCGTGGCCCTCGTTGAGGCGTTTTTACAGAGAGGGTCATGATCATCGGTTCAACATTGACAGGGCAACTTTGAACTAGAGGTGCCGACGGAGCGGGGCTCCCAAGGCAGAGCTCCGAAGATCGGGGCCTTGGATTCCTGGATCTGGCTGAAGCGGTGAGAAGCCTATGAATGGGTGCTCTTTGCTGCAGGGGGCATGCTTCTGCAGCAGCTTCGGAGGACATCTGCCTCGAGGTCATGAAGCTCCAAGCAGCTGCTTGGCAACAATCCTTTTAGCATCGCAAAAGAGCCGGGCAGCAGGGGCAAGGACATTTTCAACTTCGATTCATGCTGCGGCTTCGCTTCATGTCTGGAGTACATGGCTCCGGGCTCCCTCGCGCTTTGGTTTTTTTGTGGACTGCGAAGTTGGACTTAAGCAACTTAATCAATGCCATCATGCACGGTAGTGGAGTCTGATAACAAAACGGTTTCAGTGGTACTGTCCAAGGTGGGAGAAAATATAACAATGGATCGAATGTTCCCCTTCCCGACCTCGCCTCCTCCATGGAGCCCAGCAAGGCCACATAATCTTCTCGTGTCACGACCTGCGGAAACTGATTGCGGTCTTTCTTCTTGCAAGATCTCCACGAACAACTCCTCTGGCGACAGGATCTCAACGCTCGTTTCGGTCTTCGCAAACCATACTCGTCCAAGGCAAGGACGAGCAGCTTCGTCGGTTCCACTGTCATCACCGAGGCGGTCCTCGCCTGCGGGCCCAAACGCAAGGAGAAGCCTGCTGAACCGTGTCCAAACTGCAGCCTCCTTCTTCAGCAGGGTCTTCGCGCCGAAGGCCGCCCCGGCCCCCAAACGGTTCACCATCTTCCCCAAGTCCTGGGTCCTGCAGGCAGCTGCCCTTTCCCGACGCTTTTTCTACTTGGCAGCTTTTTGACCCGAGGCCCAAAATGCAACATCTCCCTGCACTTCTCAGCCCGGCACTTCCGATTGCTGGGGCCCTTCATCCGTGTCCTGGGCCAGTGCAGCAAAGTTTCGGGACTTCTTCTGCTCTGTCCCTTCGGAGCACGGTCTTTCAGACTTTGGCCCGGCTGGCTGTACCTTTGCGCAAAGACTCCCTGTCAGCCTTGGCTCGTCCTCTTGAGCTCCCCAGGGCATTGCCCGAAATACAACGATCAAAATCGCCTGAACACACACCGAAATCCCGGAGAGGTTTCAGGCCTCACGCCCTGCCAGAACAGCCCACCTCGGTCCTGCAAGCGTCATCCCTAAAGCCCTCTTTAAGGCTTCGCGAGTTTCAAGAGCTACGGAGAGTGAGCAAACTCCGGACAAGGTCGGTCGGGTTTGCTGGGGTTTGCCTCTCTCATCTCATGCGGTCGGACTCCGATGTCTTGGGCTTATTATTTTGATCCGGGGAATTCGCACAGCAGGACTTGGTGTGTGAATGCTTCCAGGGTCAGCCCTACCGATCACAAGCCACAAGCCACTCCTGAATGGTGCTGGAAAACCTTTGCAAAGCACGCGCCCTGTGTCCTGAAGCCTTGCGCGGAGACTCCGCCTGCGTCCAATGGGTACTTTGGGCCTTTGGGGCCACTTATGCAAGGACGTGGACTTCGAAGATCAAGAGCTTCAGTTCTTCCGTGGACAGCAATTCACTACTGGGCCGCTTTACAATGAGGTCGTCCGGGCAGTTAGGGAACAGTCGCTTCACCACTATCGGACTTGTGGCCTTACCGAGTAGCTCTTCGGATAACGGAGCTTGACTGGTTCGTTGTGCTGGATAACGGGTTACACATTGCCGAAAATGAGCTGCTCCCTGGAAAAGTCTCAAAGTCGCAGCTGCGGCACCTTCTGGGGTCCTTCTCCGACGGCATTGGGCTGATCGCGGGGCTGGCACCAAGAGAGTTCTCCGAGCTCGCCTCCTCGGAAGCGCGGGAAGGCTGGGGGCTCTGGGACGGTGGGGGCCCGCCCTGGCTGCCTCCTCCTCCGCCACCTCCGGCTCGGGCGATGCCAACGCAGGGCTCAGCGGTGGGCTCGGCAGCGAGCTCTCCTCACTGCGGAGCCAGGAGGTCCAGGGCGGCGCACGCTTCAAAAGAATGCCGGGACCCCGCCTCTCGGTCGGACGTGCTCTGCTCCTCTGCGACTGATGGTGTCCGGCTGCTCCTCTTCAGCGGGACCTCCGTCACTCCACCAGGGTGGAGCTCCCGAAACGAAAGCGCAACATGGGCCTGAAGTTGCAGAGAGCTTCGCTTCGCCTCATCTGAGTCCTGGCATCGCGTCGCAGGTGAGGCCTAGGCGGCCTAGGGCTCTGGGACTTTTCAAAAGACAAATCCCAGAGTAAAAGGTGCCGGCCCAAGGTTCTAGGCGCTGCTTCGAAGGTCCTCGTGGAAGGTCAGGCGGACACCGTGGCGCCGTCCTCGATGGGCTCCTTGAGAACACACGCTTCTTTCTTGTCTCGCTTTCTGTTTGTCTCCTACTTTGGCAAGAGATTTGGTCTATCTTCGACCACTTCGTATCCAACAACCGGCTGGTCGCAACCGCGAACTGGCTCTGAGAAGTGGTGATCTCGAATACGCAAACTCTGAAAGGAAACCTTCGGGCAGCCAAGAGCAGCGCCTTTCCAATCAAATCCTACTATGCTGTCAACACCAAATTGACGGCAAGAAACACCTCGAGGCCCCTCCTTTGGGCGCCACTGGCACGGGTGCCAGTCCGGACCCTCCAGAACTGACTGGAGCTACCACGCCTTGGCCCATCGGGGGGTGGGACGCTTTCGATGACTCAGTCTCTCCTGGGATCCGACTGGAGCTCGGCGAGAGGTTCTTGGAGGTGTCCGATCGCTGGGACCTTGCTCCAACTACTCCGCGAGAGAGAGAGAGAGAGAGGTAGGTCCCAACGCGACTGCTGCCGAGGCTGCCGCGCATTCGTCTGTGGTTGTGGTTCCACGTTGCCTGCCTGGGCGAGTTGCAACAAGGCTTGTGCCCCGGTCCAGGGTGCAGCTCTGCCTTTCGGACCGTAGTTCGTCGCTGCTGAACACAAGTCTGAACAACGCTGCTGAAGCTTTACAGTTCTCGGAACTCGTCTGGACCTTTTTGTTTCCGTGTTTTAGCACCGGGGCATTTGGCCACTAAGTCAAGGCCATATGCGTAGCAACACTGGGGCAGCAAACAGTCAACGTGGGGTGGGGGGAAAGTTGCGAGCCGTTTTTTTCTGGCAAGCCCTGGACGTCCTCGAAGCCACTTACAACCTTTGTCCCAGGAGTCGTGAGAACCCCGAGGTCGAGCTTTTCCCTTCTCTGCCTTGGCCGGCTCCTGCTGCGCAGGCGCCTGGGGGCGGGCGGCGCGGTCGGCGGTGAGTGCAGACCTTGAAGACCCAAACAAACGCCACAAGCCCAGACTCACACGCCATCCGCACAGGTACTCCAATCGACTGAGGCCACCGGCAGCATCGCCTTCACAAAAGCGCTCTTGCCACTCCTTCGGGTGTTGCGCACGAAGCTTTCGGATGAGACTGGCCGTCTGTGGCAGCTGTGGCTTGGCAGTTCTTATGCTACAAGCGACAGCCGGCCCGGACGAGAGAAGCTTCGTTTGAAGGATCTGTTTCCTGGGGCAATAAGTTACGTGCCTCGAGCGAGATCCCTGGCAAGCTCCTGAGCCATCCTAAGAGCTCTGACACCGCTGAGACACGGGCTTTTCAGCAACGGTATTCATCGCGTGGCCTTCCTGCGCTCGGGGCTTCCGGGAAATGGGCCCTTACGAAAAACCCAGCATGGCCAGGTGAAGGCTGCGTGCTGTTCGCACCCCAGAGAATGAGGGACCCCACTCAGACCGCAGTATACACGCTCCCCCGTCTTTCGTCAGATTTCCGGGCAGAGTCATCACTAGCATTGCTAATAGTGACTGGTGGCGTGATCATCGACCATGGTTACCCTCTTCATCCTGCTTTCATCAACTTAGTGAGGCAGAAGTCTTTTTGGCAGTGCCAAAGCCGCAAGATCACCGTGGCTTGCTGAAGACTAGGTTTTGCCTACCTTTTTTCACATAGTGGTTGCCCCGACCCTCGCCGGAATGTGCACTCAAACCTACCAAAGTATGTCCCGCCCAGAACTGCGCCTCCAGCCCTATCTTCGGTGGTCGAACCTGGCAAAGTGGGCGGTCGCTACATTAAGGCTAGGTTCAAGCTCTTTCCGCGGCAGTAGCACAAGAGTGCCTAGTGTTCCTGCACATACTTTTTGGGCTTGAGGCAGCGGCATGGATGCTGACCATCCCTTCCTCAGCACAACCGAGGGCTTGCAGCTTCAACTTGTCCAGCACCACAACATAATTTCCAGGCTCCATGATTCCCATGGCTTTCAGAAGGAAGCTCACCACATCACCCTCGCTCTCTCGTTGCGTCCGGTCAAGCGCACCTCTTGGCTTTTTGTCCGCCACATTCGGTCACGTTCGACGAGTCCGACGAGAACAAAGCAACTACCGGGAGTGAGCCGGGTAAGTCTCTCGTCCCCTTGTCCCAACAGTCGCTATATACAGGAAGGTGCAACGATGCAACTTCACACAACCCCGTCACCGCCAGAAATCACATCGCGGGTCCGTCAGCGCAGCCGGCTGATCCCGGTACTTTTCCGCGAAGAGATTCCTAGGCCGATGGAATGCAGAATCTTCCCCGCACATCAGCCGCGGCCTGAAGCACCCCGGATTTGAGTAATTTCAAAGTGCGAGGTCCATTCCGGATTCGTGCCACAAAGAACTTCGACGACTTAAGGCCTTGCACAGGCAGGCATGCCAAGCGTCATAAGCACGCAGTTCACTTACGTTGTGCTCCTTTTTGGGGCGGTGCTTCTGGAAGCTGGTGGGTCACTTCGACAATGCTGGCAAGGCTCAAGAGCTTGTCTTGACGCTCCTGGCTTCACCACGTGCCACTTCATTCACAAACCGTGCCATGTCTAGTTCCTAAAGTTGGTCCGTCGCCCGTAGATGCAGGTCAACACAGCCTCCGAGCCCAAGGGCAAATCCCGGCTGTCCCATCACATGTTGCCTTAACCGCCTCTTCTGTTGTCGACTAATGGCGAAGCGACTCGTAACCATGTGGTTTTGGGGCTTTGAGGTGAGCATGACATGGCCAAATCCATGGGCCGCGTGCACATGCCAGCGCTCCTTGCACTTCGCCGTGTCTTTTTTGCCATTCCAAAAACTTGTGCCTTGGCCGGCATCCGTGGTCCTTGGCTGGCAGCTGAGACCAGGAAATGACGGGCAGGCGCATGCTTTTGTGATGCCCAAAAGGCTTTAACTCATAAGGTTGCGATTGTGGCAGGGCATACTTTTTTTCAAGCAAAGCGCTGACGCCACCAGCCTACAGAACCTTGAGAGCTCAGCGGGGTGCAGGCTGCAAATGGCTGTATTCGACAGGATTTCGGAGTTTCAATCCAGCCTTTCAGTTTGAGTTGCCTCTGTGTTCTAGAAACACACGCTTCTTGCAGTCAAGCTTCTTGTCGTACTGCGTGCCACCTTTCTTGTACAACTCCTTCAAATTCTGACCCACCAAGTCGTCTAGCAGAATGAATCCTCACGAAATTGCCGAGAGTGCAAGCTCGGAGCCCGACCAACAGCTAGTCACAGAAGGCAGCATGCATCCGCCGTGTGCGGTGTGGGGCTCCCTGTCACTGTCCGGTTCACTGGCTGGCTCATCCCCCGGTTCAGGAGTCGACGCCCACGCCAAAGGCTCTCTCTCTCTCTCTCTCTCTCTCTCTCCCTCCCTCCCTATTTATGTGTATGTATGTATGTATGTATGTATGTATATATGTATGTATGTATGTATGTATGTATAATATATATATATATCTATATCTATATATATATATTTTTATTATATATATATATAGAGATAGGGACTACTTTAAAGCCTAGGGGCCTAAGTCTATATTATATGAGTACATGGACCCTTACAGAGTACTCTCCACCCAAACAAGCCTCCAATGCCACCAGCCTAAACATCCTAAACCCTAAACCGCTATACATCCACAACCATCCTACACCCGAAATGCTGTAGTAATTCTCCCAGAGATTCGAGATCACCGGCTCCCTGAGGGCACTCCACGATCACCTCGGATTCTCTACGTCTCTAGGATAGGGGGAGGTCCTAGGGCTTTTACGTTTTGGGCTTTAGGGTTTAGGGTGCGGGCTAATTGTTTTAGGGCCCTTCTCTGTGCTCTGTTCTGGGTTCAAGGACGTAGGGGTTTGGGATTTCGGGAAGCTTCCGATTTGTGGTTTTTGGGGCTGCGGCCAGTTTGCGGCTTAAGGTTCAGGGTTTCGGGATTTTGTGCTTTGGGATGAGGGTCCAGGGCGTAATGGGGAAGGACGCGGACGGCGACGTTGCTTCGAGGATGAGAAAATCGCCACTAACGTTTTAAAGCCCAAAACCCTCAACCGTAAGCTCACAACCTGCAGTGCGAGACGCGCAGGGCGGACCGGGCGCAGGTTTGACATGATGAGAGTCCTGACATGGCTTCAGGGTTCTCTGAGGTTTAGGAGTTGATGGCTTCCTTATTGAATGGG